TGAGTGAGCGGGGGTGAGTAAGTGGATGGATGAGTGAGCGGGTGAGTAAGTGGATGGATGAGGAGTGGGTGAGGTTGGATGGATGTGAGTGAGTGGGTGAGTAAGTGGATGGATGGGGAGGAGTGGGTGAGTAAGTGGATGGATGAGTGAGTGGGTGAGTAAGTGGATGGCTGAGTGAGGTATAAGTGGATGGATGAGTGAGCGGGTGAGTAAGTGGATGGATGAGTGAGTGGGTGAGTGAAGGAAGGAGAGGCCTATGTGACGCCCTCCTGTGTCTCCCTCTGCCCCATAGCATGGCTCCTGTTTCCTTATCAAACCTCAGATTCAATTCGACAGTGTTTCTTACACACCTGCTTGACAGGCTCTGTCCAAAACACAAAAGCTTTTTGGGTGAATGCAACAGAATAATCCCTATCCTCACCCTCCAAATCATAAAACCTGGTGACACAGGATCTAACTCTTGAATTAAGTAAGAGCTACAATGGAAGCTTTTTACTAAGAGGCTCATCTGATCCTATTCACTTCATTGATTGGTTCAACAAGTATTTATTGAACACCTACTATGTGTAGGTGCTCAACACAAGTAACTGGGGTTCTTATTTAGACTGAGTGTACAGGGAGGACCTTTCTGAGGAGCTGGCACTGGAACTGAGACCTGAAGATGGAAAAAAGACAGTCATTTAAAGACTAAGGGAAAAATTCCAGACAGAGGGAACAGCAAATGCAAAGACCTGAGGCAGGAAAGAACCTCAAGGAACAGAAAGTTAGCCAATGACCCTGGTGCAGTGATGAGGCGGAAAATAGTCCAGTCACCAACTGAGTAATATTAGGCAAGGTACATAACTGCTCTGAGTCACTGTTTCCCCATCTGTTAATGGAGATCATAATAATGAAGCCTTTTTCAGAAGGTCAAACAAAATCTAGGATAAGTCACCAGCACAACCACTGGCCCAGACTAGGCAGTCAAGAAATGAGTCCACTTGTCATACGTGACAGACCCTCAGGAGTCATGGTAATTGCAGGGCAAGTTGAAGCCTTTACTTCCTTTCCACTCCCTGGCCTTCCTCCCCAGATTCACCAGTTCATCTCCAACTGATCTCCAGCTCTTCCTATTTGCCTGGGCTCTTTACCTACCATACAGTGCCTCGAGGACTAGTCCTGGCCACTTCCTCACTGACTTGCCTCCCACCTCAGCCATCCTTTTGCCCTTCCAGCATCCCCCACATGCATCTGATTCCCCTTTCTCCCACACTTGTCAGAAATAATTATTTAGTGGAAGGCAGCTTCATAAAGAAAAAAAAAGAACCATCTGTGTTTTTCTTCCGTGATTCCGCCTCATAGAGCAGCTTTACCTGCCCTGCCCCTCATGTGTCAGAGAAGTTTAGAAGCAGGGATGGGATGAGCACCCTGGCTCTGAGGGCAGGGAGCATGTGGCCGTTTAGGGGGACATGAGTCACAGCAACACTGTGGTCAGTCGCCACCTATCCCCACCCCAGACAATGAGCCAGCTCTCTTACACTTATGTGGTGGGTTTATTTTCACTCAGCCTTACACACCACAGGATGGACGTAAGGGGAGAATTACAACAGAAATATACTCGGAAACGTCCCCATCATGCCCATATCACTCATAAAGGAAGCCAAAGTCCTCACCTTGGCCCACAAAGCCCTCCACAACCTACTTCCATCACTTCCCCGCCCTCACCTCCTCCCTCTCTCCTCCTTACTCACTCCACCCCAGCCACATGGGCCTCCTCAATCTTCCTCAAAACACTAGGCATGATCCCACCTCAGGGCCTTTGCACAGGCTGCTTTTTCCGACTAGGAAATGCTCTTCCTCTGATACATGCATGACTCCCCACTTCATCTCTCTCAAGTCTTTGTTCAAATGTCACTTTCTCAGCAAGGCTAAGATCCTCCTATTTCAATCCTAATCTCCCTATTTCAATTATTACAATACACCCACACCTACCTTTCCCAAGCCTTTCTTTTTTCTCCATGACATCTATCATCATTGGTCCTACTATATGCTTTTCTTACTTTTTAATCTATCTCCCTCCCTGGATTATCAGTACCATAGAGGCAGGAATCACATCTATTGTGTTCACTTCTCTTTCCCCAGTGCCTGGAACATAAAGATATGAGACTATCTTTATGACCTTGAGACATGGAAGTTGTCTTAAACACGACAAAAATGTACAAACCACAAAAGAAAAGATTGCCAACTTGGCTGCATATGATTTTCAGACTTTTTACAACGAAACATGCCTTGAAAAAAATGAAACAATGAGAAGCTTATGATCAAGAAAATTTGCTGGCCGGGCGCGGTGGCTCAAGCCTGTAATCCCTGCACTTTGGGAGGCCGAGACGGGCGGATCACAAGGTCAGGAGATCGAGACCATCCTGGCTAACATGGTGAAACCCCGTCTCTACTAAAAAATACAAAAAACTAGCCGGGCGCGGTGGTGGGCGCCTGTAGTCCCAGCTACTCGGGAGGCTGAGGCAGGAGAATGGCGTGAACCCGGGAGGCGGAGCTTGCAGTGAGCTGAGATCCGGCCACTGCACTCCAGCCTGGGCGACAGAGCGAGACTCCGTCTCAAAAAAAATAAAAAATAAAAAATAAAAATAAAAATAAAAAAAAAAGAAAATTTGCTAAATGAGCAAATGAGTAAAAAATGAATGAATGAATGAATGAAAATGCTGTTATAACTGAGCCACAAGTTCGGCCCTGAGCTCCTTGGTGGACAAAGGAAAAAGAGAAACAGGATTAGTTACATTCTTTATTTTATTTTATTTTATTTTTGAGATGGAGTTTCACTCTGTCGCCCATGCTGGACCACAGTGGTGCGATCTCAGCTCACTGCAGCCTCCACTTCCCAGGTTCAAGTGATTTTCATGTCTCAGCCTCCCAAGTAGCTGAGATTACAGGCGCTCGCTACCATGCCTGGCTAATTTTTGTATTTTTACTAGAGACAGGGTTTCGTCGTGTTGCCCAGGCTGGTCTCATACTCCTGACCTCAAGTGATCCATCTGTCTTGACCTCCCAAAATGCTGGGATTACAGGCATGAGCCACCTTGCCCGCCAGAATTCACATTATTTATGAAGATAAAACAGTCCAGTTTCCAGAGAGGCCCCTATGCCAGACAATTTATTTACTGCCTCTTATTTAATATTCACAATATATTTCTGGGGAATGGGCTCATTTATAGGTAAACATTTATAAATGTGTAAGGGAGGCTCAGTGACATGAGCAAAGCCAGCTGCTGGAAGGTCAGGCATGGAGGGAAGGAGGAGGGCTGGTCTTGCCCAATCCCTGCCATGGACCAGAACCAAAGGCTGAGCAGGTAGAGGAGGGCCTAGCTGTGATGTGCAGGATCTTAGGGAGGCCCAGTCACAGGGGAGCTCTTGGCCTGTTTGGTGATACTGCCCACCTGTTATACTAGTGAGAGAGAGGCACTTTGTACGTCCTCACCCTGCACACATTTGTGGCTGTGATAAACTTGGAGTAGCCAAGAACTAGCCCAGCCCCCACATCTGATGGGGGCAGGGAATGCTCCTGAGTCCAAATGATCCAGTTGGCCAGGGATATCTGGTTCTCAGTGACAGTACCAGTCCAGATGAGCCCCTCATCCCATGAGCTCTCCCCATGATTGGAGTTTGAGTATTTTCATCCAGAATCTAACAAAATCCCTGAGGTAATAACAATAATAATAATGGGAGAGGGGCGGAGTGAGAAACTGAGGAGGGAGTTTTGATAAATCCTTGGGCTCCAGGTCCCTGGAAGACCTTCCCTGCAGAATGACCCCTTCCACCTGGGTGGGAGTGTGTATACCTGGTTCTCAGGGGTCAGGGGGCAGCCAGGGAGAGAGAGAACACAGATGCCCCCACACAGTTGCTCCTGTTCCAGCAGCTTGAGGCCCTGATCCAAGACACAGAGGAAGCCAATATGTCTGACCCTCAAACTGGGTGGTAAGCAAGCCCCCCAGGGGACACCAAGAAGGGGGATTCAGACACCTTAGACATTACCTCCTCCTTCAGTCTGGTCTTCAGTATGTTTCTTCCCAAACCCCCATCCCCACCCCAGGACAGGAAACCCAAGGCCAGAAAAGTGTCTTCTCACTTGTCACTAACTGGGCATAAAAGGAAGGTCCAAAGATCGTGAGTGGGTCGGTGAGGGGACAAGTGAATTATAAGTAAATTAATGAGTAAGAGAATGAATGAATAAACAAGTTAGCACATAAATGAGTGACTAAATGAATAAATGAATGAAAGGATGGATGGGTGGGTGAGTAGATGGATGGATGGATGAAAGGAAGGATGTGTAGATGAATGGGTGAGGATGGATAGATGGATGGGTGAATGGATGAGGATGAGTGGATGCAAGGAAGGAAGACAGGATGGATGGATGAATGGGAATGGATGAGGATGGATGGATGGATGGATGGATGGATGGATGGATGGATAGACAGAAGAATAAATGGATGTATGAATGGATGAATGGATAGATGGATGGATGGAAAAATGGATGGAAGCAAGAAAGAATGGGTGGATGGATGGATAGGTGAGGATAGGTGGATGAGTGGATGAGGATGGATGGATGCATGCATAGATAGGTGCATGGGTGGATGAATGAATGGATGGATGGATGGATGGAGGGATGGGTGAGGATGGATGGATAGAGAGAAAGAAGGAAGAAGGAAGAACCAATGCATGGATGAATGAGAATAGATGCATGGATAAATGGAGGATGGATAGATGAATGGATGGATGGATGGATGGATGGATGGATAGATGGACAAGTGGATGAATGGATGGAAGGATGGATGGATGAGGATGGATAAACTAATGAATGGATAGATGGAAGGAATGGATGGATGGATTGATGGATGGATGAATATATGGGTGGATGGATGGATGGATGGATAAGGATGGAGGGACTAATGGATGGATGGATGATGATTGATGAATGAATGAATGGATGAATAAATGAGGATGAATGGATGAATGGATGGATGGATATAGGGAAGAATGGATAAATGGAAAGGAGGAAGAAAGGGAAAAGTGACAACCCAAAGCGTAGATGTTAGGGCAAGGCAAGAGCCATAGTAGAATCCAAGATGGGCTCCCACTCTCCTCCCCTAGGAGGTCTGGTATGGAAGCTGTGAAGTGGACCCTCCAAGCCAGGGTGCCCCTACTTCCTACAGGCCTTCCCAGATTGCTAATCAAGACCAAGCTACTCATCCCTCAGACCAACCTATATTCAGCCCCCAAACACTCCCTTGCAAGCCTAGCCTTTCCCAGAGGAAGCCCTCAGAGGGGGGTCTGACCACCCTCCCAGCCACAAGGTACCCTGCCTGAGGCTCGGGATTTGATGCGCAGTTTGTGGGGCAGAGAGGGCTGACCCAGACCCTCATGACTGTTCCCTGGGACAGGGCAGGTCACCCCAGGAGACAGACCCATGGGATCAGCAGTGGGCGTCAGCAACATATCTGATGGCCCTGAAGCCCGGCATCTAGAGGGCATTGGTGACCACAGCCCCCAGCAGGGTCTGAGCTCTGGTCTGGACCTGACATGCCCATCCAAGAGGTGACAGCTGAAGAGGGCAGGTGGGAGGGCAGTGTGCAAGGCCATGTCAATTCTGTTGAGGGTAGGAGGTGCAGACTCTTGGGGGGACTTAGGAGAAGTGGCCAAGTCAGTCCATCTGGGAGCCAGCAGGCAGCCCCGACATCCTGGAATCCCAGCATCCAGGGAACATGGCCTTAAAAGGCAATTGTGAGAGCCAGACAAGGATGACAGTGCTTCAGCCCCAGGCTGGAGGTCCCCAGTCCAGGGGGCTTCCCATAGCACGGCCTGCAGGGGCAAGGCCTGGGGCCCACCAGTCAGGGGCAGGAGGCCAAAGCGAAGCTTGAGCGCCTTCAGCTCACCCCTGAGCAGGGCATTCTCCTCCATCAGTGCAGCCAACCTGCCCTCAATGGCTGCATCATTGAGACGTCGCTTTTCCCTGGATCTCTTGGCTGCCTCATTGTTCTTTCTCCGCTTCTCCCAGTAAACTGTGTCCTTCTTATCTTCTGGCATGAACTCCCGCTGGCGACGTATGGTGGGGCCCCTGCCCCGAGCCCCCCACAAGGTCTTGCTATGACTCTGAGACACATCTGACAGGCCCAAGAAACCCACATCCATGGCTGCTTGGAGAACCTGGGAAAGAGGAAAGAGATCTTGGAGTAAAGGCAGGAGGTAGACCTGGATGATCCCTTTCTCTAATTTATCCTGTGTCTCCACCGTCACCCATAGAGGGGACAGGTGGAGTTGGAACTGAGCTGGAGACCAAGGTTTGATCTGCATTGGTTTGATGCCCAATGAAGATTGGGTGAGGCCACAAAACAAGAAACCGCTAGAAAGGCTTAAGAGAAGACCACAGTCATCATGAAAAGCTGGTTCAACCCTGTACCCTCAGAAGGACACATGCTCTTCCGGGGTTTTCTCCTTACCGTTGAGAAGGTCAGCAGACAAGCCCAGGGCTCAGTTCAGTTGGCGTTCCAAGGTGAGATTCTTGGAAACCCAGAGGGAGACAGAAGGATGACTGAACCTAGAAATAGAGACTATGTATCCATGGAGGTAAACAGAGCCAAGTTGAGATCAGAAAATAAGCTGCTATTCACCTAAACTGTGCCCAGATTGTACCCCAAGATCGCTTCAATTTGTGGCCAGCATTGTTTACCTGCCCATCCATCCATCCATCCAACTACCCACCCATTCATCGGGTAATCCAATCACTCGCCCATTCACTCAACTGTCCATTTGTCCATCCCTCTACCCAACTCATCATCTCTCCATTTACCCATTCATTCACTCACTCACCATCCATTCACTCAAACCCATCTCCCCATCTCATTGTGCAACTCTCCATCACATCTACCACTTACTCATTCACCCATCCATCCAAACGTCCATTGATTCACTGATAGATTCATTTTTTAAAATCATATTGTGCCTTTACTAGGTATCTTTTCATCCATATATTCATTCATTGGTCTCAACCATCCACCTGTCTATTCCTCCATTCTTTCATTCATCCAAATATCCCTCCTATGTGTCAGTCGCTCTTCTACAAATCCATTCATTCATCTGTATATTCATCCATAGGTCCATTCATTCATCCAACCAACAAAAAAGCAATTTTTTTAGAGGCAAGGTCTCACTCTGTCACCCAAGCTGGAGTGCGGTGATGGGATCATAGTTCACTGCAGCCTTGAACAGTTGGGCTCAGGCAATCACCATGCCTCAGCTTCCCAAGTAGCTGGGACTACAGGTATATGCCATTATGCTCAGCTATTTTTAAATTTTCTGCAGGGACATGGTCTCACTTTGTTGCCCAGGTATGAAAACAAAATGCAATTCCCATGTGCCTAGTGTTGAAGAATTAGAGTGTTGGTAATTGAGGGCAGAGAAAAAAGTCAAAGGTATTAGATTCCCAACTCCTAGGGTGGAGCCCAGAAAAGATGCCCAATGTCCCAAGGATGGAAGACTACCTCCCTTGCCTCAGCCCAGTTTCTCACACTGGTTTTCGTGAAGACTCTAACACAAAGATCTGGGTTCTACCAACCACCTGGGGGATGTCATCACCTTCTGTGATTCAGATACAAAACAGGTGGAGAGAAAAACCACAGCAAGGTGGAAGGATTCTGTCTAAAAATTCAGGACAAACTTCAGGAAAGAAGGGGCACTGAGGGCTGAAAATCGATCATCTTTGTTCTGAAAACCGACGACTGTCATCTCCATAAGGGCACGTGTATGTCTTTTTTTGTCTACTGTTGTATCCCTGGTACCTCGCCTTGTGCTTGTAAATAGTAGGTGGTAAATAAACACTTGTTGAATGAATTCATGAATTCATGAATGAACACATGAATGAAAACAACCTTGTTCACAGCTGGAGAGCATTTAACCCCCTTGCTGAACTCCCACCCAAGAAACCATGAAAACACACCACATTTTTCTGTTTGCTCCGGCAGAAACTCAGTGTTGAGTTTTCAGATAAATTGTAATAACTTTCCTAAGTTGGGAGTATAGATTCTTCTTCCCCAACATTCTAATTTATTCTTCACTAACAGCCCTTGGCCTTAGCTTCTGTGGCTACATGGTTATGTGACATAATTCAGGTCATGTTTGACAGAGGATAAAGGAATATACAACCAGCCAAATAGCAACACTCCTGGGAACTCTGATAATGATCCTAAGTCCACATTTCCCAAAGTATGTTCCTAGGAACCCCTGTGCCAATGATGGCGTGCCCTCAAAAAGAGAATGCAAAAATGTTTGAGAAATATTGCATACCTTATTCCTTAGGTAGGTTAGGAGAATCACAAAGTACATTGAAGGCTCTGAGAAGTCCTGCCAAAAAAAAAAAAAAAAGTGTAGTTTTGTTTGACTTCGAGGCTTTCAAATTTATTTGCCCAAGAAATGCTGATTATACTTCACAAACCAATTTGAGGTGCATATTTATTCATTCATCCACTGTGCCAGGTTGTAAGGTAGACAAAAGAAGAAAATCAAACTGCCTCCCAGCCTTCCCAAATCTCCCAGTCTCATGGAAAAGTCGAGTGAGATTATAATAAAGAAGAAAACATGTCTAGAGAAGCTCTTTCATCTGCTCACATCACACAGTAAGTCAGTGGCAGGACTAGGATTTAAACTCAAATCTGTCTAATGTGTGAGTCTGTTCTGTCACACCCTGTGACCTGCCCATGTGCTCAGGAGGCTGCCATGTCTGGAAATCTTGGTTGGGCTTGGAGAATAAAAAATAAGGCCAAGCGCGGTGGCTCATGCCTGTAATCCCTGCACTTTGGGAGGCCAAGGCAGGCGGATCACAAGGTCAGGAGAGCGAGACCATCCTGGCTAACACAGTGAAACCCTGTCTCTACTAAAAATACAAAGCATTAGCCAGGCATGGTGGCACGTGCCTGTAGTCCCAGCTACTCAGGAGGCTGAAACAGGAGAATCACTTGAATCCAGGAGACAGAGGTTGCAGTAAGCCAAGATCGCGCCACTGCACTCCAGCCTGGGCAACAGAGCAAGACTCTGTCTCAATCAATCAGTCAATCAATCAATCAATCAATGCCTTGTGGGGTTCTGCAGTCGCCCAAGTCAACAAGAACTCCTAGTTACTGGAAGGTCTCCAGCACTCATGCCCAGGACCCCAAGTCACAGGAGGGACTCCAGGGCCCATGCCCGGGAACTCCTCTGAGAAATCCTAGTCACTGGGGAGACTCCAGCACCCAAGTCCAGGACCCACTCTGAAGCCAAAAGACATCTGGGCCATCTCTCCACCTGTTGCCACTTGCTGTAGTGGTAGGCAGCTCCACACCTGCCCACATCACATGGGCTGGGGAAGCAGCTGCAGTTAGGTGGACTCTGGTCCACAAGTGCCAGGCGGGACACCCTGGGTTTGCAATTTCCTGCAGCTGTCTCCGAGCTTTGTTCCCGGCAGCCAGGCTAATAACATAACCCTGCTCAGGTGTCCAAGTTCACTGAGCCCTTACAGACACCTAGGGCTACCATACCCTCTATCGGGAGCATATCACCCCCACTTACAGACCATGCAGCTGAGGTTCAGGAAAAGTTAAGTGGCTGGCCCAGGGACAGTCAGAGATTCCAAAAGTAAGCAGCATTCTTCTCCCAGCATCGTGAGTACCACCACCAACCCTGGCCCCAAAGCTGCCACTGACACCCCTCAAATCCTTCTCCCCTGGCTGCATTCATGCCACCTCCCACTAATCCGTCCTCCACTGTTGCATCTACCCCTCTCTCCACTCCCGACAGCCCTGGTCCCAGCCCGAGCATTTTCTGTCCCACCTGGACCCCCACCAGCCTCCATCCTTGTCCCCCGCAAACCCACCATGAGCCCAGAGGCGCCTTTTTAAAATCCCATTTATCCTCTGCTTAAAAGCCTCTGGGGTGTGCTTATGAAAGTATAAGCATCTTAGACTCCTGAAAACAGTGCTCATATGTTCCTCAATTCACCTCCACCTCCAGCGCAGGATCAGGAATGAAGAAGGAAGGCCCTGCATGAGTATTTATCGGAATAAACTAATAAATATATGAATACTTTTTAGAATAAACTATTCAATGCATAAATATTTTTGGAATGAACAAATAAATGCATGAATATTTTTGAATGAACTGATAAATGCATGAATATTTTTTGGAATGAACTAATAAATGCGTGGATATTTGAATAAATTAAAATTGAGTGAAGTGTGGGTAAATGAATGAATGAGCAGAGGAAGGAATACTCAAAGGGCAGAACCTATGACAGTGTGGGTCCTCTCTTCCCACCAAGGGCTGGGCCTGGGTCTTCCACTGCCCAGACAGCTCACCTGAGCCCCAGACAAGCCCTCACTCGGGGTCCCCCACTAGCCACAGAATTCCCCTGCCACCTTCCTGGCCCTGTCTTGGTGGGGGGCATCAGAGGGTGTCCCAACAACCATTCCAACTTCAAGGGATGTTGACCAGAGCCCAGGAATTGATGAACATCTGCGTAGAGGTGCACAGCACATCGCAGAGCTCTGAGGCCAGCATCTAGAAAGTACCATTTTGGCTCTAGGAGAGAAGACAGAAGTGGTAGGCAAGTCCTGAGATGACCACAGCTGGGCTGGAAAGGAAGAGGAACACAGCCCAGGGGTCCCCAAGAGCCACACCAGCATCAGCAATGCCCAAGGAAGAGAAGTGAGCGTGGGCTGGTAGTCACATAAAGAAAGGACAGGCCAGAGTGACTCTGAGCAGTCAGCTCTCAGGCCACACGACTGAGATAGAGGAAAATTTGTTATCACTGTGGTCTGAGTCCCTCCTGTCTGTGGCTTGGCCTGAACCCCCCTAACCACCGCCCCCTACACCTCCACAGGAACCCAGAGGGAGATGAGGCAGCTGATAGTTCTGCTGCCCGAGTTTATTTAGAGAAAACACAGTAAGAGCTGGGCTGGGCCTTCCTGTGGTCGCAGAGGAAGTGCTAACGGAGGGTGGCAAGACAGGCAGCACTCCTTGCAAAGTGGCCAGAGGGGGATGAAGAAACAGGAAAAGGGTCTGCCTCAGAGACGGCCCCATGGCAGGCCAGTCCCACCCAGCCCAGCGGCCTCCGCAGCTGCCTTGCCCAGTGACAATCAAAGCTCTGCTTGGTCCCCTTCTGTAACAGGG